CAGCTAGCCATACCNTGAAAACTAATCAAGGAGAGAAGCAACTTAGAACTGAGGAGAAATTTCCTGACAGTTAGAACAATTAATCAGTGGAACAGTTTGCCTTCAGAAGTTGTGAATGTTCCAGCACTCACAACTTTTTAAAGAAGGTGTTGGATAACCATTTGTCTGAAGTGGTATATTTTATGTTTTCTGCCTTTTGCCCTCTTCAATCCTCTCTTTATTTCAGCAGGCGATGTCCGGCAGAACGAGAATGGCAGGAAATTTTTGAAAGTTGCCTCCGACAGAACTGAGCCACCAAAGCTGGAAGAGATGCCCTTGCTGAAGAGAACAAGGAGAAACTACCTCACGGATAAGTGTAAGAAAAGTACGGCTTCCCAAGTGGCGGGATTCCATAACGCTTCCCTCCCCGAAGAGAAACCGAACGAAAAGAGAAAATACAAGTGCAACGTTTGCGGGAAATTCTTCAGCTACAAGTCGAGCTTGAAGATCCACCTGAGAATCCACACCGGGGAGAAACCGTACAAGTGCTTGGAGTGTGGGAAGAGCTTCATCCGTAGCGACCTCCTGGCCTCCCATCAGAGGATCCACACGGGGGAGAAGCCCTACAGCTGCTCCTTTTGCAGCAAGTGCTTCTGCGACTTGTCCACATTGATCAAGCATCGGAGGATCCACACGGGGGAGAAGCCGTACATCTGCGTGGAGTGCGGCAAGAGCTTCAGCCAAAAGGCGATTCTCAACTCCCACCAGAGGATTCACACGGGTGAGAAACCCCACAAATGCGGCGAGTGTGGGGACAGCTTCAGCCGGAGCACTTACCTGGCCTCCCATCAGCGAGTCCACCTGGGGGGACGGATGTGTCAAAATGCAGATTGTAGCCTCTCAGATCAGCCCAAACTGATTCAGTCCCCCATCGTTCCTGTGGAGGAGAAGACCTTTAAATGCTCCGAATACGGTCAGAAGTTGAAGCAGCATTCGCCGTGCTTGGCCCACCAGAAAATGTACGCATTGGGCAAAAGTATCAGTGTTTTTGAATGTGGAGACAAGATTCATTTGGAAGCCATGGCTTGCGAGACTTCGGAGAAGCTGAATGATTAGCCCGGAGGTCGACAAATCTGCGGCTCTGAAGCCGCATGTGGCTCTTTCATCCCTCTGCTGTGGCTCCCTGTCGCCGGTTAGCTGCACAATTGATAGGGCTTTTGGTTAGGACAGGTAGAGGAAAAGGGACGCCGCTCTAGGAGGAGACTCTATGTTGAGGGAACCGGACTTCCAGAATTGAACGGGGGGCTTCCGGTTATGACTTTTGTGGCTCTTTGAGTCTTTAAGGTGGCCGATCCCTGGATTAGCCCATGGGGAGGGGATTTGCTCCTCTCTTGGCGCTCGGAAAAATTTCCAATCCAATTGGCATTAAAGCAATATGGCGAATTGCCCACAGTTGTGAGGGAAGTGGTGGCAAAAGATTTCAACTATTTGTCCCTTTCAGAGAGTTGTGCACTGAGAAGCTACAAGATGTACTTCTTGGGGATAGCACTTAGCAGCAGCACTTAAGACTTATAAGACACACCTTTTTCCCTAAAAAAAGGATGAAAATCTGGGTGCATCTTATACACCGAATACAGCATTTTTTCCAGAGGTGGGTTCCTACCAGTTCGCACCAGTTCGGTAGAACCGGTTCGTCAAANAGTTACAACCCCCGGTATGCCCAAATATGGGAGGAAGATCACTACATACATACATATATACACATACATACATACATACATATAAAATCTTTGAGATTTTTAATTATTTGTTTAGTTTGGTACACTGGCCAAAGTCCACTGGAGTTGGGCAGCCAAAAAATTAAAATACATAATAAACACTAAGGTTTACTGGATTATGAATTCAGCATGAGCCAACAGAGGGTTACAGCTGCCAAAATAGCCAATGCAAGCTTGCGCTTCCTCAACAGTTATACACATCCTCTCCTCGTTTAGTGACTGCAATCCATTTCTTAAATTGGAAGCGAAATGGTCACTAAGGAAAACGGTTGCCAAGGGAAGGTGGGGCAGAGACAAATGCTGTGAAGATCACAGGTTGTGGTGTTTCATTTGTAGATTTTCACTCTTGTCAGTTTCCAATTGCTTTTATCATGAACGCCTCAAGTCAAGATTCTACGCATGTTGCTATGCCGCCTTGTCACTTTCAACCGGAAAAACAATCAGAAAAGAACTGGGAGGGACCTTGGAGGTCATCTAGTCCAACCCCCTGCTCAAGCAGGAAACCCTATGCCATTTCAGACAAGTCCAACCTCTTCTTCAAAACTTCCCGGGATGAAGCACCCACAACTTCTGAAGGCAAAGCTGTTCCAGCTGTTCTCCCTGGGAGGAGATTTCTTCTCAATTCCAGGTTGCTTCTCTCCATTAGTTTCCATCCATTGTTTCATGTCCTGCCCTCGGGTGCTTTGGAAAATAAATTGATCCCCTCTTCTTTGTGGCAGCCCCTCAAATCCTGGAATACTGCTATCATGTCCATCCCCGTCCCCGCCCAGTCCTTTTTTCTAGATTAGCCAAACCCAAATCCTGCCAAAAATCAGTTGCAACTGCGTACCCTGGTTAGAAGTTGATTTCTTAAATTACCATCATATTGGAGAAAGGAGGTAGAGGATGTCGAGTTTGTGAGATCTGATTGGTCTGTTGATACCACATGGCGAAGACCATACTTGCAATCACTACAATACAAGAAGAATGGAAAATCCGGAGGAGAGCCACAGAGAGCGAGTAGCTGGAAGGGCAAGTTCCCAACCCTTGAGTTTGGAACCGGGCCGCAGAAGTGATGGGGGAGGGTGTGCATCCCCCTCTTGTGTGAGCGGTGGGTGAGCATGTGCATACGTGCACCATTGGTGCAAGCTGCGGGCGCAAATTGAGCTACGTGCATGCACCCTTGCCTGCCGCTTACGCATGACCCTCTCTTTACCAGTGGTGGGATTCAAATAAATTGAACAACCGGTTCTCTGCCCTAATGACCGGCTGGATGGGCGTGGCCAGGAGGTGTGACAAGCAGCACTCGGTCTCCTGCAACCCCCACCCGGAGCAAAAACGGGCTGCGGGGGACTGGGGGGGGGACGCTTAAAACAAAAGTTTTTAAGACTTGTGCAGTGGAGCTGTAATTCCTTTGGTAAGCTTAAAGAAGAGCAAACGAAGGCGGAAGTGATTTCTTTTTTCTCTAGCATACAGAGCTGAATTCAAGAGAGACTGCAAGGCTTCTCACTTAGCTGGAAGGTATTAATTTTGGGCCTAGCACAGGGGTGGGATACCTGGTGGGAGCACCAGGTACCGTTCCAGTACGGTCAGTGGTGGGTTTCAAAATTTTTTAGAACTTCTTGTGTAGGTGTGGCCTACTTTGTGGGAGTGGCTTGCTGGCCATGTGACCAAGAGTGGCTTGCCAGCCATGTGACTGGGTGGGCCAACTTATAAAATGTGGTGAAACTCACTTAATAATGCTCTTGCTTAGCAACCAAAATGTTGGCTCAGAAACTCTGGCATTTGAAGCAGACAAGTCTTAAAGCTGTCGAGTTACAAGGCCATTGCACCCCTAACCCTTTGGGGAAAAAAAACCGAGGGGTGTTCAAACTTGGCAGCTTTAAGACTTGTGGACTTCAACTCCCAGAATTCCTCCTCTCACTCTTCATCTTGAAGGGGGGAGGGAGCTGGAACCGGTTCTAAACGGCACTGTAGATTTGTGGAACCTCTTCTATAGAAGAGGTTAGAACTGGCAGGAACCCACCCCTGAGTCTGCCACGGATTCTGCTTACCCTTGTTTCTTCTGGTTAACCGGGTTTGTCATGAACTTTCCAAAACTTCTCTTCCTTGATTTCTATCTAGCCAATCATACATAGCGTTCCCTCATATTTTTTCTGCACAACCACCTCGTGAAATTAAGGGGGCTGGACAGGGGTGAAATCAACTTACCTTTGCTAATGGTTCGTAAATGTGAGCGCACACACCACCTCTGCGCATGCGCAGGACTTTCCACGCATGCACAGAGCATAAAAAATGGGACGTGATGATGTCTGGGTGGGCGGAGCCTCCCGCCACGACCGCTACTGATTCACCCGAACCAGACAGAACCGGCTGAATTGCACAACTGGGGCTGGACTAAAAAAACTCCAGCGACCCCAGAGTTTGGGGTGGGGGATTAGACTCTAGATCTCACCACTCCTAGTCCAGCCCCTTCCTCATGACTGAAAATTCCCTAAGAGCACAGGCTGGGAAGCATGGGCCAACAAGGATTTAGAGAGGCAAGCCAATAGATGTGTGTCTTGAATGAGTGGGACCAAGATGAGAAGAACCAAAATAAAAATAATGCCAATATCATGACAATATAGTTCATATTTATTCCCATTGGATCGAACCATTTCTTCATTCTAGCATATTCAAAGTTGGTGGCAGGTTTGAGAAGGCTCAGGAGCAGCAGAATCGAACGCTTAGGAAAGGGGGCGCTCGCTCTGCCTATTTCAGTTTCGACTATTGTTCCTATAAGCTAGTATTTCTCAAGGTTGGCCACTTTTAAGAAGTATGGACTTCAACTCCTAGAATTCCACAGCCAGCATGAGGCATCCTGGGAGTTGAAGTCCACTTCTCTTAAAGTTGCCAAGCTTGGGAAACACTGCTATAGACAAATGATCAAGAGACACCAATTTATAACATCGCGGTGGGCATGACTGCTGTATGGGTAGTTCTCCATTTACGAGCACAATCGAACCCAAAGTTTAAGCAAAACAGACATTAAATGAGTCGTGCCCAATTTTTACGACTTTTTTTCCCCCACTTCCGTTATTGATGGTTGTTAATAATGTTCGAAGTTACAACGGCCCGTGATTTCCACTACCGCTTTGGGTGAACCAGTCCAAACCAGGCAGAATACCACCTGTGGTATTACTAATTTAACAATTGCAGGGATTCGCTTAACTAAGGTGGCAAGAAAAGTCGTAAAATGGGGTGACCCTCACTCAGCGGCATAAATTCTGGGCTCAATTGTGGTCGCTAAGTCGAGGATTACCTGTATTAAGCCTTAGAAATGGCAGGCCTTTGAAATTGCAACGCAACCGTTGGGTTATAAGGAGAGGTTAATTTGTGGGCTTCCTCCCCGGTATGGATTCTCTGATGTCTAATAAGATTGGTGCTTTGGCTAAAACTCTTCCCACATGCCAGGCATTTATAGGGTTTCTGCCCTGTGTGAATCCTCTGGTGTTTAACGAGTCCCGACTGATCGCAGAAGGTTTTGTTACAGTCCGAGCATTTGTACGGTCTCTCGCCGGTGTGAATTCTTTGGTGCGAGGTAAGGTGGGTGCTCTGGCTGAAACTCTTCCCGCACTCCGAGCATTTGTACGGCTTCTCCCCCGTGTGGATGGTCTTGTGGTTAATGAGGCCCGACTGGTTGCAAAAGCCTTTCCCGCACTCCGAGCATTTGTAGGGCTTCTCTCCCGTGTGGATCCTCTGGTGGGAGATCAGGCTGGTGCTGTGGCGGAAGCTCTTCCCGCACTCGGAGCATTGGTAGGGCTTCTCCCCCGTGTGGATCCTCTGATGTTGAATCAGGTTGTTGCTCTGTGTGAAGGTCCTTCCGCAGCTTGGACAACCGTACGGCTTCTCCCCCGTGTGAGTCCTCTGGTGGGAGGTCAGTTGATTGCTTTGACTAAAACCTTTCCCACATTCTAAGCATTTGTAGGACTTCACGCCACACTCAGCGAGGTTGTTGGTCTGATGAATAGTCTTCCCAAAACTCGGGTTCTTCTTGGGTTTCTCTCTCCAGGGGTCGCCCTGGCGCCGCTTCTTCCTCTCTTCCGTTGATTGTCCCGGAACGATGACTTTGTGGACGTCTTCTTCCTGGCAGGAAGTGGCGAGGTCACTCCTTTTCTCTAGAGGGGTCCCCTCAGATCTGTTTGATCCGCCCTCCTTCCGTACGTTTCCTTTGAGCACTTCGATAGGGTTGGTTTCTGAAGGCATCTCACAAGGTTCCATCTCGTCTTCATTCTTCATTTCCCCCACTGGAATAAAAAGAGGAAGCGATTAAAACTGTGGAAGGAGCCGTTCCTCCAATGAATGACCCACCCTTGTTTTGGTGACCTACGTCAGGCCATCTACATCTAAAACGCAGCCAAACTATGGTTACAAAATAATGGCTTCCGGATGGTTACTCAACTTCAGGTTTAACCTTAGATCTGAACCCTCAGCCTAGCTCAATGCACATTAGAAGGTTCCCTTTCTGATCCAATGGCATGGCGTCTCACTCACCGTCTCCCTGCTGAGTTTCGGCATGCAGCTGCCTCTGCTCTGTATCATGGGGAATCTGGCCAGTCTCAGAGGAAGGCAGGGAGTTCTCTTTGATGTTGACCTGGAATGAGCAGAGAGGAAGAGTCGTAGGATAGGACAACAGAGCTGGGAGGGGAGGATTGTGTCCTTTGCCACATGGATAGATATTTATTCCCAGATAGGATTGGGTTTGTCTCCCATGGAGTTCATTTTTCATTTCTCTCTCTCTCTCTCTCTCTCTCTCTCTCTCTCTCTCTCTCACACACACACACACACACACACACACACATCCATCATCTTTGTCTGTCTGTCTGTCTGTCTGTCTATCTATCT